CAGGACTGCACAACTGTTTAGGTTCAGGTTATGTGGAGCCAGAGCCATCTAATCTGCCAGAGTTGAGAATTATGACTTCAGTTTAAGAGTCATTCAGGTGTAATTGATCATTGTCATTTTTAGATGGGCAGTGGTCAACAAATGAACATAACTGAGTCTAATTATAAAGGTGGGATTCACTGAGAACTGTACAATACTTGTTACAGCGAAACGCTCATGCAGAACTACGTCACACTGTAAAATGAACACTTATGGACTCGCTTGGCTCACGATGGGGAAGGCTGTTGTTTCAGCATTCAGTAATAGCAGAGTGCATCTCAGCTAGTAGAAGCTAACCATTAGCATTAGCAACTCCACAACATGGCAGATTTCCTTCAGGCTTGAAAAAAACAACAACGTTGCACTTTTTCCCAAGAAAGAAAAACGTATGAAGGCAGGGTAAGAGTTGCGTTGCTGTTAGCCAATCAGTGGTGAGACATGTGCATATCATTAGTATTAAGGAGAAAACTCCAAATCCTGCCATTTTCCACTCCCAACTCCTCCTGGATAACTCCACATCTGAGAGTGTTGCTAATATCGGCCCCTTATTCTGAGATGTAGGACCTTTCCCACCGGCAAAATGTAAGGAACAATTAAATGCACATTGATCTGCTCCGCATGGTGAAACTCCACTCTCCCACATAAACACGCCTATTGCTTTGCTTTGTCTTACTTTAGCTTGGCCCGTTTCCCTTTCCAACTGTTTGATGTGGCCGCAGACCCTTACCGACTTGGAAAATGGATAAAAAAGGTCCCCTTTGACATCCGATCTGGGTATCTAGAGTCCCATTAGCAACAAACATTTGCAAAGCCACCTGCAAATGATTCACTTTTGTAATTTGTGAAATGGGATGAGACATGTCACACAATAAATGACATGAATCTTGGTAATCAGAGCATCAACTGCTTGTTGTACAAAAAAATCGAGGAGAAACAAGTGGAACAGTATTTTTGTTTTCGCTTGATTTGACAATTGTTGCAGAGCTGCTGTGACAGCAGCTTCATTAGTGCAGAAGGCTAACAGGGAGGTCAGCTACATTGCATCGCCTGCTGGATTCCTGTCACTTTCATTGTTTTATCTTCCAAACACAGGCACGCTTAGCTCTGGTCACCACATCACTTCCAATCCTCCAGTATTTATCAGTGGAAGCAGAATTCTAGAGTTAGTTTATCCATTTAGTGCTCTAGTAGAGGAACGTCACAGTGGGCATGTAACGATTTCCTTGTTTAGGGTTTACCTTTGTTTGAAGAGGAATGGCTAGTTTCTAAATTCGTAGCTCTTTATTTTGATGTTTGACTTCATGAAAAAAAATGTTAGTCATTACAAAATAATATGATATATCATATTGTGGCAGTCCCCAGTGCTGGATTTTGGCAAGATAATCATCTACACCAGCAACCTGCGCATCATAAGAGCCCCACCGAAGAAGCCTGAGATTTTGAGGCAACACTCTGTTCCTCCAGTGGATTTTGAGGAATACCCCAAGGCCAAGGACAGGGAGCGTAGGAGGAGGACTAAATCTCCAATCATGCAAGAGGAGGTCAAGGAGGAGAAACAGATCAGCGACCCAGATGCCAAGGTGATCTGTAAATCATTCTCAGTGGTGTGCTCGGGTTTTCATTTATGTTTATAGACTTTTTGTTTCACTTCTCCTTTACCTTTTCTTGCTCTGTCTTTTTGAAACAAGTTGACTGATCATGCCATAGTCCCCCTTGTACTCCATTCTTTTCTCTTTCTTGTGCTTGTCATGTCCTGTGCCCCTTTTGTCCCCAGCTCCCTCCTGGTTTCCCTCATGTTCTCTATTCTCCCCACCTTTTGGTTTAGTGTTTCAGTTCTCCTGTCTCCTTTAGAGTGTTTCCTTTCCCCACTTGGATCATTTATTTTCTTCTTTTTGGATCACCCTGTGTCTTTGTTTTTACTATGTTTTTAGTTTAGTTTGGTTAATTCAGTGGCTTTGGTTTTCAGGATTAGATCTGGTTTTTCTCTCCTGCTTATTTCTGCTTCACCTTAGTTCATTGTTTTCACCTGTGCCCAATTCCCACACACCTGCCCACCTTCTCCTATCACCCAGTGTATGTATATATACCCTGCCTGTGTCTCTCTGTGTTGTTGGTCCATTGATGTTGTGAGCGTTGTTTTTGCCCCCCCTCTAGTTTCTCAGGTTCTTTGTGCCTTTAGGATTTTGCTCACCCTCCTTAATAAAAGGAATTTTTTTTCTTAGCCAGCCGAGCCCAGGACCCAGCGACTCAAAGGCCCCACCTGGCATGTACAATCATACACAGTTACAATCACACACTCCCTCCCGCATGCTCACACATGTACATACAACCAAAGACTTACAAAAATGCACGCAACAGAGGTGTGCTAAGTCCCCTAGTCTCCCTCCGCCTGCTCCAATATGGTGTTAGTGAGTGTGGATGAGGTGTATTCCATGGCTGTGGTGAGCGGGCAGTGCGGGCATCGTCTGGCCTATGCCAGCTGATGCCACCACACCACCCCACTTGCATCGACTTGGGTCGCTGGGTCCCGGGTTCGGCCGGCTAGGGGGTGGGAGGCTGCGGGCAGGCCTGTGGACTTGCAACCGATATCTCCTGGGACTCTGCCGGCTGCTGGTTGTGGACCCCCCCAGGGCGATCCTCTGCTCCTCTCGAGGGGGGGCGGGGCTTTTCTGGTCCCAGTCCCCCTGGGGGTCCCTGTGCTCTGGGCAGCTCCTGGATCTCTGGGACTTGGAGCTCCCTCTGTCTCCTGCACATCTTTAGGGGGCAGATCTGTGGCCCCTCACACTCTCTATTGGACGCTCCTATAGAGAAACCTTACATAAACGAGCGCGTGTACACACACAGGTGCTCACATGGTGCTCTCATAAGTAGAGACTTGGGCATGTTCAACACATGTCTTAAGGCTATGGTGGGCACTTAATGCACTGTGTAGGGCTGCAACAAACGATTATTTGGATAATCGATTAATCGGATGGGGTCTCGACACGATTAATCGATTAATCGGATTACATAGGGACATTTTTAAAAACTGCTAGGGAAACGTTATTTTTCTCCTTCCCTCACTTTATTAAACACAACATTATTAGAAAACAGTTCAATAGCAGAAAAACAACATGCCATCACCTAAATTGTCTTATAAGGTGTATAGACAGAGACCCTAAGCTACACCTATCTGTGACCTAAAATGCTTGGTCCAAGTTAAACAGCTTAAAGAGCAAGTCAACCCCTACCAGAGTCCAACTCCACTCCCGCTTCATGTTTGAAAAATGCAACACATGCTGTTGCCTGGCAGACCGAGAGGGCGGAGCCGCTAACAAATACACACACACTCAGGGTCACGACAGCATTGTGACATCATAATGTACCAGTTTACATCATAGCATACTTCTTAGCCAATAGCGGTGGCAGATTTAAATTAAAATACAGTGCAGAGTTTTTACCTGACAACGGCACAACACTGCCAGTTTTAGGCAGAATATTTAAATTTTAACTAAGATGCACTGAAGTGCCAAATTATTGACAACACGTGTCTGCAGCATGATTAGACACTCGTTTATTTAGTCTATCAGCAAAAAAAAAAAAGTATTTGGGGGTGACTTGCTCTTTAAGGGCAATTCTCATCTGTTTTGTTTGATCTCATCTGTAGATATTTATTATAATTGGGGATGTCAAACAACTAATTTTTAAATGTAATTAAACATAGGCTGTGAATTAATCAAAATTAATCACTATTCCCAAAAATGACTGAAAAATACCAAATAAAACAAAAGTAAATGAATGCCATCCTCCTTGTGATGATGCCCTGGGCAACTGCCATAAAGTCACATCAAGAAATGCTGCTGATCATTCCAATGATCCCAAATAGACTCACATTAGGCCACATGAAAGCAACTGAACCCAAAAATATATTAACCAGTATATAACTGCACTCTCACAACGCGCCTGCAGCAACAGTTAGGATTCCTCCCTCCCTTTTAAAAGCGTTTTCGCTTCTGAGGACATCGTGGTTGTAAAGCCACAAGTTAGTAGTCTGGCCCCGGTGTGATCAACCAGTTTCTGCGGGAATGTGACGGCGGAACCGGTTCGCAGCGGCGCGAGTCGTCGCACCCCCCCCACCCCCCCCCCCCCCCCCCCCCCCCCCCCCCCCCCGCATATCTAATAGCGTTGCGCTTACAATTTTAAAGACTTTTTTTTACGAGCTTAGGGCATGTCTAGCCTGTGTAATAATCCGGAGCTTGGGTGAATCACTTTTGAAAAGTTTTTAACTTACCCGGACACCGAGCTCTCTCCTTCCTCGCTGATGATTCTGACATGCTTGCGTTTAAGACGCTGCATCATCACCGTAGTATCCCCATGCCATGCTAAGTCTGACCTACAAACGTTGCATGTCTTCGCCTGATTTAACTGAAAATGCTCCCAAACTTTAGAAGTTTTTACTTTTTGGGGGTCTCGCTGCTTCTGCCATGTTCCTCTTACAAACACGTGCTGGCTCTCCACCGGTCTGCGCGCAACGGCGGGCGGGAGGGGAGGGGGCTTTTGGAAGAGTTGCGCAACACAACGAATCGATGACGCAATTCGTTGCCAACGCTTTTAGTAATCGATTTTCATCGAATTTATCGATTCGTTGTTGCAGCCCTAGCACTGTGATTTATTTTCGTGTGATTGTTCACTTAAACAAAGTTGATTATATATTTCTTCAACAAGATGATGCAGTGATAGCTTGATCTTGTAATTGTTGTGTGTCCCATTTTTTTTTCTTCTCTCTTTCTGCAGGTCTAGAAGCAGACTCTTGTTCATTATTGTTTATTTTTGTGAACCCCCACCTTTTGTCTCTTCCTTTCTCTTTCACCTCTGTCTCCGTGTCTGGTCGGAATGAAAAAGCATTCAAAAACAATAACAATAAAGTTTGAAGTATCAGGCGTGACATTAAAAGCAGATGATGCTTTGATGCTCCACCTGAGAGTAGGGTTGTCACGGTATGAAAATTTAACCTCACGGTTATTGTGACCAAAATTATCACGGTTTTCGGTATTATCGCGGTATTTTTTAAACGGTGTTGCATATGTTCAGAAAGCATTGATAGTCCTGTTCTACACAAACTGAAATAGTTCTGAAAAGGTTTAACAGTGTTTATTAAACCTAAAATAACACAAAGCCTTAGCAAAAGTGCAACTTTTCACAAGTAAAGGAACAAATAGCTTCTTTTTCTGGAACATGTTACAGTAGTCAGTGCAGGTTTAAATGATACAAATCCAAACATTCGAAACATAAACAATATGTAAACAAATCAAAGAAACACCACTTGTTTTCTCATATACTTGTTTTCTTCATTATCAAAATGAAAATCTAAAACTCCACTCCACACTTGACTTGAGCGCTGTACAAGTCAACCTTAAAAAAATATGTATTTAAAATAAATAGCCACTTTAAACAAATTACTAAAATAACTACTACACTATGTAATCAAATCCAAATGTTCAAGTGTAAATGGCATTGAATAAGTAAACAAATCAATGACAAGGAACTAATTGTATATTTCTCTTCATCATCAACAAATAAGATGCTTCATCCAGCAACAGGGTGTCCGTGACACGGTTTAAATGCTGGCAGAGGACGCTGCGGCTGCAGTATGTAGTGACTCGTTGCATTCTCCCTCAACCAAAAGTCCTCACGTCATGCATTTAAGCTAAAATGCTAATGTTAACTTACCTTGCACTGGCTGTAGAGACGTGGGTGATGGTCACGCAGATGTGCCATTAGATTCGAAGTGTTGCTGCCTTTTGCAGACACTTGTTTCCTGCACGTTCTGCAAACGGGATAGCAGTCTTCTATTAGCTGTCCCTCAGCATTTTTCAGAAATCCAAAATATGCCCATACTTCCGATTTAGTTTTCTTTGAGGGCTGATGGATGTCCTGGGCGCTGCCGTCTCCTCCTTTGGCCATTATTTCAGCTTCAAAGTTTTGGTGCCGTTGCAAACTAAAAAGTGTGTGTGCGCGCCGCGGGAACTTCAGCTGAAGCGACGGTGGCTGGTAAGGGTCACCGCGCCGAAACCGCGGCCACGGTAAACCCACCGAGATAATATAGTTTTTTTAAAAACTGGACGGTTATTTTTATTGTCAACCTTTTTACCGGGGTTTACCGCTATACCGGTTACCGTGACAACCCTACCTGAGAGTAAATCTGTAAGGTTTGTTACCAACATTCAGACATCAATTCTGTTTGCTTCACAGCCAGACAGGACACGGGAAAAAAAGGAAAAAAAAAAAAGATTTTTTTTCTTACAGCCTCTCCTGCCTGGAGTCATTCTGGGTTTCTGCATTTTGGGTCTGACCTCCTCCTACCGTATCGTGACAGTGCTGGCCCTCCTGGTACAACAAGCACTAACCAACTGCCTCAGTGTTATCACTCTACTGTGAACAGATATTCATGAGTCCACAGTTTTCCCTTTTGCCTTTGCAGCATCTGCCTGACACTCACAAGCCAGCAAAGATACCCAACTTGCTATTATTCCCCCACTTTTTGCTCCTCACATTCTTCCTTCATCTTTTCTCATTTCTTGAGCTATCTTCTTAATGAAAATGCTTGTCAAAAAGTTCAAGCTCATTTTTTTACCCTGCAAATAAGAATTTAGACTTTTATAGACAAAAAACAAAATCTCTATAAGTCTTGACGTTTTGGGATGCTTCAAGCCCGGCTATAGCTACCCTAAAAGCATTGCTGGCAAAACTACCAAAACATTTCTGATAAATACTGTATTCAGTGTAGATAATGACTCTATAACAGAAATTAAAGGTCGGTAAGGCTATTATTCAGTGGTGCCCCCAAGGGTGTGCCAGGAGAGGCCATAGCCACGTGCAAGGAGAGGCCATAGCCACCTCTAATAGCTGGCCCCCCAAGGAAGACCCACTCTTTCAGTAAATCATATTTCCATTAGCACAAACCATAAATTAAATCTCTTTAATCAGAAAATAAATATGGTTGCTGCTTCTCATCATTTTGAAAAAGAAATTATGGATGTTTTTGTGAAGACAGCAACGTGTATTAAAGTCTTCTAAAAAAGAATCAAAAATGTTGAAATAATAACTCAAATAACAGTGTGAAATATCTTTTTCTGAAATGTCCGTGTTTCATAAATTTGAGGTAAATGTGTTGGATGCACAGCCTGGAAATCCAGACTAAATAAATATATTATTTAGTCTAGCAACACTCCATTGACGGCTCTCGGTCGTGGGGTGGTTTCTATTATTGTCTTTCAAACGATCTCTGTATGCTACTGGACACCGAACAACGTGACGTACTCACTGCAACAGATGTCGGTAAACGAGGTAGTCCGCTGCTGAAGAAGGCAAAATACATATTTTTTTCTTTTAAAAAAAAGAACTTAAATACCTCTTTCTGCTCCTGATTCTAATAAAACCCAAGTCTAAATAGTCCAAAATTGATGTAAAAGCTGTTTCAAACGAGCTGTCGCCATCTTGTTCCACTCTGTTGCATCATCCCGCCCACCAGACAAATAGAGGGCCCCAAAGTCTCATGATTTACCAATATTTTCTGGCATTTTCATCCATTTCACCCCAGCAGCCAGGATCCGGGTTTAAGTTAGCATCCACCATCAGCGTCACCTGGCTAGGACATTCTGCTGGGCTCCCATCAGAAACTACTTGAAGCAGGTCTGCCTCTGCCCCCAAGTGGGCCATATCTGCTTCTCTGTGAATCTCTGCAGCTCCATCTAGCATAGCTCCGTTGCCTTCATCGTGAACGTCTTGCTTTTCTATAACCTCCTGTTGGGTCCAGCAGCAGGTTTAAAATATCCTGACAATTTAGGGATTTTCTGCAGAGGATTTTTGTGCTTTTGTTCTTTGATTCTCTCCATTTTTCTTGTCTGAGTGCTGCTCTCATATTTTCTTTCTGACATTTTTTTCATAAGTGCAGCAGCCTATGATACATGAATATGACGTGTCACGTGACACGTTACTTAACTCAAGACCGCCACAATGTTTACCCAATCAGTGTCGCTCATGATTTTGTCGGTCAATACAGCTGAAGAATATTCTTGCATGTAAATTTAAATGAAATCATATAGTTTTATCTGGCCAATGGGGGCCCCAGAACACACGTGGGCCCCTAGGCTTAAGCCATATCAAGCCTGTGCATTAATCCTGGCCTGAGTACAGGGCTACTCTATGTACTGTCTGTAAGTCCCTGCTTGCTCTGTCTACCGTCTCTTGATGCTCATACAGCTGAGAACACAAATGGTGGAGTCCAGAATTTGATTTGTTTTTCAGCACTTTACTGGAGTTCTGATTTCCTTTCATCAGCTCTCCAAAATCTTTTATTTTATTTGCCAGGGAACTCACTCTCTGTGAGTGGAGAAATGGTTTAAACTTTCTTTCTTACACTTTCTTTTGCTCCCCCTTCACATCTGCGGCGTAGCCTTTTCAATTTGTCAGGGATTTGAAGACTTATTCTGGTCATTAGTTGTGCTTTAGAAAGCTTACAGGCATGCTTACTCGTTGTAATAGTTGTTAAGAAGAGCCCAAAGTACCAGTAAAAATCTTTTAAGCAGCACAGCTTCCAAACCAGTGTGGGAAATTCTTCTGGAAAAAAACTCACATGAAATCTTACAAGAATGTAAAATACCAGAATATGACTTGATCAGCTGAGCTAAAAAAAAAAAGCACAAAGTGAAAATAGAGACAATGTGCAGTTTTACCATTAATTTCTGGAAATATCCATCAAAATTTTGTTAAAAATGAGTGAAATGATGCCCGGTTGTTGAAAAATACTGGTGGCTTTGTAACATATAACTATAAAAATAAGTTCAAAAATACATGGGAGGAGGTCTAAGTCTCTGGGCAACGCCATATTAGATGCTGTTTCCTTCTACTGGAGCCCATGAGGACAAAATGCATTTACTGATTTGTAATTAATGGTTACAAAACCTTTATCATTCTTAAATCATGTTGTTTTACACTTTTACCTCTTCACTTGTTGCCAGTGATGAAAGGGAGTCTGATGTGCTTGTTATTTAGCTAAAGATTGCACTCCCCACAGCTTTTGGTAAGGTCTTACTCCAACAAAAAAATACTGCTTTTTGCAACAATTTAGGTATCTACTGCCCCCATCGCCAGGAAAAATACACACTGTCACTTTAAGCTTAAACGTTTTTCGTAAACTTAATACTGCTCTGAATTATATTATATTATATTATATTATATTATATTATATTATATTATATTATATTACATGAAAATAGATACCTTCAAATTCTCATTTGCCTAACAATAATTTCTGAAAAAATGAAAGTAAAAATAGTGCATTGATTAAATTAAGATCAAATCAGGTGTCAGTGCAGCAAACAGAAATAAAAAAATAAAAAATAAATAAATAAAGCACTTCTTGTTGCACCTCAATTTAACTGCATCTGACTATGAAACAGTGTCCTGCTGACTAATGAGTGAGGTTTCATTTTTCCCGTGTCCTCACTGCCAGAACTCTTGGCTGTTTTTATTTTTTGGAGTTTCAGTTAACTAACTGGTCATTAGTGTTGCATTTACGGAAGGTTCAATGAATAACTAAAGACATAATTACAGTCTGCTTGTAGATTACCGAGAGACTCGAGCAGTTGTAGCATTGATGAATGTAATTGTTCAAATTATCTTCTAGTCATTGTGTTTGCTTTGTGTTTCCCAGAAGGAAGGCACGTTTGAGTGAGAAGCTTCTAATTATGAGCTGGCCTGTGGTTCTAACCTAATCCATTTAAAACCAATACAGTATAAATGTTTTAAGTACGACAACTTTGTTTAATTAGAGAAGACAGTCAATCAAATAATGAAAATGACTCCACATATCGTTTTAATGACCATTTTTACAAATGCTGTTCCCAACCATTCTTACTATTTTACCCTTTGCCTCATCTCTCAGTTCCTCCTCTTCATCTTCCTCCCGTAATGCGTTTCTTCTGTCTCCAGGAGGTCGACAGCTGCCAGCATTGTGGTGGTTCAGGCTGTGCTCCCTGCTCCCTGTGTCATGGCAGCAAGCTGTCCATGCTGGCAAATCGCTTCAACGAGTCCATCAGCGATCTGCGTTGCCAAGCCTGCTACCCTCATGGTCTGGAGAGGTGCCAGGCCTGCTCCAGTAAATAGCACCATTTGGCTAAAAACCAGCTCTGGCAAAGAGAAAGAAAGAAAGTTAGTGAACGAGGACTGACGAGCTGTCAGGATGTTAGAAGCATCTTCATGACAGCACGGCTTTAGTCCAAAAATGTTTTTAGTGGGACATTTCTGCTAGAAAACATGCATCGTTGTTGGAAAGGGGAGTTGTTGACTGTGCTGCAGACAATAAAAACATAATAAAACTACACAAAACAATTACCGTGTGCAGTGAACATTACTTAAGATTGCACAAACACATAATGAGTTCCTGTGTTTTCACATAATTTTGCACCTGTACACCTCTTTATCATAAAACTTAATTTGGCAATGTTGGCAACATTAATTAAAATGTTTGATCTGGAGGTTAATTGTACTTACTTTTTTTTTAAATTGTACTTACTGAGAAATCTTTTGGTTTCTTCATTTATTGTGAGAGATTGAAGCCACTGTAATGTAAACTTGATCTTATGGGTCTGTTTATTTGCTTGTTTATGGAGTGCGGACACAGATTGCAAGACGACATGATGGAGGCTGACATAATTACCTCCATCTGCTCATGCCTCAGTGCAAAGCCCAAGTCTACATAGTCCAAAGTCGATGCAAAAGCTTTTTCAACTGAGTCCATTCCTTTGTCGACACCATCTTTGTAGTTTTTGTAGTTAGTAGTCTTTGTTGTTCTTTCGCAGCATAGAGTGCTATGATTGGCCAGACTTAAATTTGTTCGAGCAATGGTAGACCTGTGAGGCTACAATGGAGCATGGTTAGACTGACCTGGTTGCAACACCTTATCTCAGGTGTATACTATTACTTAGTTCAGGACGATTTGCCATTTATTTATATGGATACGGATTTACGGTATAACGTTTTGAAGAACTGCTTTTGATGTGTTCGAGAGCACGTGATCCATCACTGGAATGAAAATGCATGGTTCCTTAAATATCCGTGAAACTAAGTGACACACAAATACAAAAGCGAATGCTGCATAATTACTTGTAATTCAATCTCACTCGTTACACCTCTAATCAATAGCAGTCAGCCACCCTATCATGTCATTCAGGGGTGATTTAACTGAAAAAGGAAAACAAAATTTGAATATTATCACTTCAGTGGCAAACGTTTAACACATCAAACAGCTGCTGTTGGGTCTGAGGGATCCCCTTTGAGCCGTGCTGCATTTCTTTACTTAAAAGTATTAAATTAGCCCGTGAGAAATCATTTAATCAGCAGTTTGTTTATTTCCTGAACAGCTATGAAAAGCCTTGATTAGACTCCGATGTGCTTTGCATTACAGCTTTTCTTCTCTGTGAGCATTAAGGCTCAAAGTAGAATAAAGTTTCTGTGAAACACAAAATATTGATCTTCAGAAGTATCATATAGCTGAGCAGGAGTCTGGCCAACAGCCCAAACAGAAATCACATTCTTGCCAGAGAAGAACCTGGATTCAGCCACTTTTTAAGTTTATTTTCATTCCCCTGACCTGTCAGCTCCAAGAGCTTCACCGATTCTTAAGCTAAGACAGCAGTGCTTTTGAACTCTTTTTTTTTTCTCTAACAACCATTCTCACTCGGTATTCCACTGGGCAACAAAAGTGATGAAAAATTGGGTCACAGAACTTTGCTTGGCCTCTTCTTTCCTGCAGTGACCCAAAGGCAATGAGGGGACAGACAGGTAAAAGCCCCTCGAGTGTTAAAGAAAGAGAAGATCCACGATCCATGTCTGTTCTGCAAACCGCCCCAATATAACAATTAAATATGCAGAATTAGAAGATCTACATTAGGACTATATGTTTGTAATTGTGGGATATTTACAATAGTTTTAATGTTTTAAAACATGTTTTAATGGGATGATAATAACATTTTGGTGGCTTTACTGGGAGTTGACAAAGAAAAGATAAAACAAACACATTTTCTGTCATAAAATAATATATATTTACATATAGCATAACATCACATTGAAATTATGATGGGTTGTGTGATTCCTGGTATGCTGCAGATACGCTCAGTAATTATGCATCAATATAGAAAAGCAATACAGGAGGATAACTCATGCAGATGAGAACCATGGCTCGTGTCACACTTATTACTGACCGCAGATATAAAACTATCAATTCATGCAAATAACAAAGATATTACAAAGTCAGGCACACAGTCAGTCAGATTCTAGTTGTTTTTTCACACTGAAGACAATAAAGCAAGTTTTATTTTTCAATTCAACTCATTTAATAAAACTTCAGTGATATACTCAAAAAAAGACTTTTCATATCATTAAAAAATGCACTGAATCACTATTTATTTGATCATTCTTCAATCAAAGACAATATTGTTAAACCACAGCAGCTGCAGGAGCGAGCAATGGGTTATGAAACCAAAGGGGGGGATGATTCACGGAGAAGCAACACCATCACTAATGATACTTCATAGGTTTGTCAGTAGTTTTCATTTGTAACATCAGACTCAGCGAGCAGATTGTATGCATTAATCATGAACGCTCATGTATGATTATCGCAGTGTGCAAATCTGAAAACGTTCTCTGCTTGAGTTCACTGTATAACAGCTCTGAAAATCTAGTGGTGATTTGTGCAACAATCAGAGAAACAAAAATAGATCATCTTTAAATTGTCAAAAGCACCAGTGCAGCTAAACTATACATTCATCTAACAAAACATTTATCTTTGTGTACAAATAATAGGCAGATTTTTTGTGTGTGGCCGTTCTACTATGACCTTACTCATTCTCACTCATCAGCAAAGTATTCCCAGCCACATCCATCCCATTACTGCTTTTCACACCATTCTGAGCATACTTTTGAAATCGGGCATGAAATTCCCAGAAGATCCGAGCTCAAACTGGATGACCTAACCCAAAGCAATCCCGCTGCAGACAAAGGCTCAGAGACCACTGATGACCGATGTGAATACTAACTGATGCTGTTGAATTTCATTCCCTTCTCTTTTTATCAAATCCATTCATAACAACACAATAAAACGATGAATCAAAAAACACAATTTGACTGTTTAGTAGTAGTTTTGTTGATGATGTTCTAGACATTATTCTTGTGGAGCTTGTGGCATATTCATACAGTGCAGCGATTCAATGAATGCAAGCTTTCAGTTCAATGGAGAATTTAGTAGAAACAGTTTGTGTCCATCTCAGGGTTCATTTCTTATATTTTACATTTCATTGTCCACTACCAAAAGGCCACAGACAGCAGTCAGAGGACTCCCAAGTGCTTTACAGTAATTCATTCATCCATTCACACACTGGTGGTGATGAACTACATTGTCGCCTCAGCTGCCCTGGGACATGCTGACAGAAGCAAATCTGCTGGGCACCGTCCCATCTGGACAATGGCAACAAGCATACTCTTCACAAAATCTCCGATCAAGTACAGTTACCTAAAATTCATCTGAATTTGACAGAAAACACAGAGGAAGAGGTTTGGGAGTCTTGTTGAAAGCTGGCTGTTTGAGCCTTCAAACCACCAGGCTGCTAATTTATACTCTGTAAACATTACCATGTGTTTTTGGTGTTACCCTGCAAACAAAATTCAATTCTTTGAAACTTTTATCCTGTTAATAAAAACTAATAATTTCAATACTGTGTCCAAATCTACAGTATTGTGTTTTAAACTGTCTCTCTGTGTGTGTGTGTGTGTGTGTGTGTGTGTGTTCATGCATGTGTGTGCACCTTAATTCTTCTCTGTTTATCTTGTTTCCCCATCAAAAATATATTTAACAGCATGACTTGCCACACGTGATACTGAGTGATTTCTTGATGTTCCTTCCTCTAGCATGTTGCGTGTATAATCCTGTGCCGTAACTGCACACATAGTTAAAGTCCTGTGAGTGAAGGTAACAGCACTATCAAATATCAGTGTGTTTGAACATGGCTGACGCTGGTTTCACATGTCCAAGTGCAATCCGCTACTCTTCACCGTATATTTGGTTACCACCTCTGAGTGACAGGAAAATTAGAATGTCTAAAGCAGTCCATTAAACGTTGTCGGTGTGTGTTTAGAGCTTCCTAGAGCTTCAGTTATGTTCATTAAGAACGGTTTTTACAGGCACTACTTGAATATTAAAGGTGTTTTTGTCTGAGGTGCCATAAGCTCCTTTCTCACTTGCACAACTTCCAGTTAATCACTTTGTGCTAGTTACTGATCACCTCAAAGAAAGCTAATGTCTGAACTGCTGCAGTAAGATCGAGTGACACCATTACTTACATCTATTCTAACTTTCCCTCTCAGTATGTCTTTTATCTTGTAGCTTCAGAATAGCCATTTCCTCCAGTGTATAAGCCAAGTGAAAAATGAATTGAAAGCACCTGAGGATTAGATGACAAATTAGCTTTCTGTACCATCAGAGGGTGGAATGAGTGGTTTTATTTGTTTATTTTTGCTCCTTAGCTCCAGTATTTGTGCTTCTACAGTCACAAAACTTAAAGGAACAATATGTAAGAATTCTACAGTCCGTCTCAATCATATTCAAAGGAAGGTTACATTTAAATTAATTTCCGTCTCATTATTCTCCCTTTAAAATGGTTAAAGAGTAGTGTAGTCTTTCTTTATTATCTGTGAGCCCGCAAGGTTGCCAAGTCTGCGCTAAGCCACAACGCTGCAGCGTCAACATTTATAATTTGACACCAGCAGACAAAAAGCTCCAAAGTTGTTCAACCGAAGCCAGTAAACAGGAGCACCCTAGAACTTATTTCTTGTACCTCTAAAGATGTTTTTGCCCAAAAATGCTGTCAATTTGTTGCAATGCCCGTGGCGGCATCAGGGAGCCATAGGTCAGAGCAAGTGGTCAGACCGTGGTGGTAATGTTGCACAATCGTGTCCTTTCTACAATACATTACATGATGGCAGTTTATCTTGGACATAAATTGCTTTTTACTACAATCAAAGCGGCGCTCATTAAGTTTTTTTAACAAGCCACTCCTAAAGGTGTCAGTCCTCCACAGTCCCTGTGCAGTCTCTGGTGATCTGACCTCCAACTCCAAAGAAGTAAAAAGCTCCAAGAGCGTTGCATTGCTCCAGATTACCATCTCAGCTGATTTTGTTTACAAAAATGAAACTTAGAGCCCGCTTTCCTTTCTGGTTGCCCGTGCCAGTACCAGATCTGCTTGGGTGCCAGATCGGCTCACAACGGAAAATCTACTCGGCTTTTACACATAAGTTTTGGAAAGAGTTTAGCCGTGTCGTTATACATTCTTGTGTTTTACGGCCTAAAATTTTTTTTCTTTATAACTGTAATTTGGTAATTAAACACCATCTTGTCTTCATTTTTTTAAAAATGTTAAACTACATAAAACCAACATCAGACTGTTAAAAAGCACAACAGGTCTTATATGAGACATTTTTTAAATGTAGTTACATAATTAGCCGCCATATCTGTGTGTATAAATTTGGGATTCCTCTGTATTTTTCGTTAGTTCTTATGTAAATAAATCCATTCATTCATTAAAAATGTTGCTTGCTATTTGTTCAACAAAGTTTATTTGTTTATTTTTTGCCCCATTTAATCAAAATCAGTTTCCTTTGGCAATATAAACATACTTTCTCCAAAAAGTGTTTGTTTTTGGACTACATGACTTCAACCTCTAGGAATACAACCGCAAAATTGTTCGGACCAATCAAAATCTTCAGTGTCAATGTGCTAACGTAACTTTGATGAACGCGGTATCGTAACTTTAGAAAGTCCTGCCTTCACCCAATCATCTCGTGTGATGTCATCAGCAGGTGCAGGTCCCAAAACCGATTTGGCACCCGAGCAGACTCAAGACTCAAGACAACTTTAGTTGCCCCGAGGGGCAAATCTGGTACTGACACCTGCCGAGCTCAGCAGTAACTCCTCACATGATCATGACTCCTCTTTGTTAAGAAAGAACAACATTCATCCCTCACTGGCTTGCTTTATGGCATTCAACGTGAGTGAAATGCAAATATTTGATTCAAAAATAAAAACCTATTCCCAGTCTTGAACCTCCTCCCAAGTGGCTGGTGGATTTTAGAAACTTTGCAAGCAAATAATTATCCAGTGAGAAACTGGGAATGATTTCTTTCTCACTATACCATATAAACAATGCTCCTGCAGCTCCACTTTGTCTGCTCTATTTCAGATTCTTCAATTATAAACCAGATGTCCCTTGAGACACAAAATTCCTCTGGACACCCGTGCAGATAATGACTTTTTTGATTAAACTCTACCGAGTAGCCGTCTGAACTGTTTCTAGTTTTATTGAAAGAAAATACAGCATTCCCTTGCATATTTGTAATATCCGAGATTTACGAGTGGGAGGAGAGCTATTCATTGCAAATAGTTATACTCTGTAATTAGGTAAAATAGGCCTGGTTCATGGTGGTGCGTAAAATCAGCCATTTGGGATTCAGCTGGGAACGCAACAATTTAATCAATGCAGCACAGAGCAGACCTCGACAGGCGCATAACTCTGTCATCTAAGGTACCACACTGTATAAAGTGAGATAGTGTGGTACAGTAGGAAGAGCGGGAGCAGGTGTGTTGGCGCTGGGAGAAATCTTCCAAGCCAGTCAGCGTGCTGCAAGCAGCAGCAACAAATTACTCGCAGGGCCGTGATGCATGAAACCATGAGGGCTGGTGGAGAAGAAAGTTTCAACTTCTCCACCGACTCTGATTTGTTTGAATGTGACCAACTTGTGAGTTTCATTTAAAGAGCAAGTCACCCCCTACAAGAAACTTACTTCACTCCACTTCATGTTTGAAAAATGCAACAAATGCTGTTGCTTGGCAGACCGAGAGGGCGGAGCTGTTAACAAATACACGCAGGCTCACAATGGCATTATGACATCATAAAGTACCAGATGACATCATAGCATACCTCTTAGCCAATAGCGGTGGCAGATTTAAATTCAAATACAGTGCAGAATTTTTCCCTGACGACGGCGCAACACTGACAGTTTTAGGTAGAATATTTTAATTTTAACCAAGATGCACTGAACTGCCAAATTATTGACGACACGTGTCTGCAGCACGATTAGACACTCCTTTATATAGTTTATCGGCAAAAAAATGTGATTTGGAGGTGACTTGCTCTTTAAGTTGACAAACAGGGGTCCCTTGTAACACCCTTACTGTAAGGGTTTTACATTCAAATTCAAATTCAAAAATACTTTATTAATCCCAGAGGGAAATTAGAGTTTCAGTACACACAATTCTGAGATCAGACACACATACATAGCCACATGACAAGAATAGGTGACTGTGGTCATTTGCAACCCGGGTCGCACTACCGTAATAGATCAAGAGGGTTTATATGAGGATAAAGTCGGGGGGGGGGGTTAAGGCACTTCAGAGTTACCTCCACAGAGAAGACAGCTTTGCTATGCAAAAAAACACCTCAGACAGATATGCACACAGACTTCAGACATTACACAACATGTGTCCACTAGGTGGGGAGGTAGGGTTGGGACTCTCCTCACTTCAGTGCGTACAGCCGCATGGGGCAGCGCTCATCACCTTTGTTTGGACAGAGGAGGGAAATGATGGGTTAGCAAGCACATTGACTCCTAGATACGGTTCCATGGTTTTCACCAGTCACAGTCCTGCCCAAGCTGGGATAGGGAGACAGAGTTGCCATGGTGACGCCAGCATTCCATATGTAGTGTCACGAAGGTCCTCTAATTTGTGACAAATGTCACATTTTCCCAGCTAGGTCAAGCTGGGTCGACTGTAACTTTGCCTCTGTCAGACTGGTCGGCTGGATGCGGGAGTTAAACTTGTAGAGAGTGTGGTCTCACAGACCTGAGCTCTGGGATTGAGCCAATATTCCTAGAAAGCTTGTTAATTTTTCCGGTACGCCAGGTAACCGCTCAGGCCAAACAGCAGAAATCCCGACACCAACACGACGAATATCCAAACATCTTCCGAATCCTCTACAGACAGTTGAGAGAGGCATATCAGGCTCCACATTTCCAGGAGTCCATGATATACCCAGCTGGCTCTGTCCCAGAGGGGCATCCGGGAGCCCCTTCTCATCGCAGAAAAAATTTTGTCAATCGCGTTGAGAGACCAACTGACCAGATCCATTTTTAATAATTTCCAGTTTCCAAAAAAAATGCAGAAAGTGCCGTGCACGGACAGGACAAAGAGCCTTGGGATAAGGAGGGAGTGAAAGGAGGGGGGCGTCTGTACTCTCCAAGAGCCAGAAGAAGAAGCTCTTTAAATGTGTCGAACACTCATTTAATCAATACGTTTGCTGTAGCCTATAGTAGGAAGAATACCTTCCAAGTCATACTCTGAAGGGGGGAGTTCAGAAGCGTCTGGATCAGCATGGACAAGTCTGCTGCAGCAGAGAGAGGCAGTGGGCAGCAGGATTTCCTAATATTTGGATATCTTGCCTCAGATTAGATAGCATCACTGTACCACTGACTCAGGTTGCTCTGTGACATGGAGGTTTTATCTCCACAAATAACTCAAGCCTGGAGAAGCTTCTGCCATGTGGTTGAGTTGCTAATGTTAACAGTTAGCTTCTGCTAGACTATATGTTCAATACTGTTTCTTGTAAGTAAGTAAGTAAGTAAGTAAAAGTTTATTTATACAGCGCCTTTCACAGAT